AACAAAATGGGCATAGAAGGAAATTACCTCAACATAGTAAAGGCCATATATGACAAACTCACAGCCAACATCATACTCAATGGGCAAAAACTGAGCACCATCCCCCTGAAAACAGGAACGAGACAAGAATGCCCTCTATCACCACTCTTATTCAACATAGAACTGGAGGTTTTGGCCAGAGCAATTAGGCAAGAGAAAGGAATAAAAGGAATCTAAACAGGGAGTGAAGAAGTGAAAGTCTTGCTGTTTGCAGATGACATGATCTTATATATAGAAAACCCCAAAGAATCCATCAGAAAACTAATAGAAATAATTAACAATTACAGTAAAGTTGCAGGGTAAAACATCAACTTACAAAAATCAGTTGCTTTTCTATACTTTAATAACGAACTTACAGAAAGAGAACTCAAGAATACAACTCCAGGGGCCGGCATGGTGGCGCAGCAGTTAAGTGCACATGTTCTGCTTCAGCGGCCCGGGGTTGACGGGTGAGGATCCTGGGTGTGGACAGGGCACCACTTGGCAAGCCATGCTGTGGTAGTCATCCCACATACAAAGTAGAGGAAGATGGGCACGGATGTTAGCTCAGGGCCAGGCTTCCTCATCAAAAAGAGGAAGACTGGCGGGAGATGTTAGCTCAGGGCTAATCTTCCTCCAAAAAAAAAAAAAAAAAAAGGAATACAATTCCACTTACAATCACAACTAAAAGAATAAAGTACCTAGGAATGAATTTAACCAAGGAGGTGAAGGACTTATACAACGAAAACTACAAGACATTACTGAAAGAAATTGATAATGACATAAAGAGATGGAAAGAGATTCCATGCACATGGGTTAGAAAAATAAACACAGCTAAAATGTCCATACTACCCAAAGCAATCTGTAGATTCAGTGCAATCCCAATCAGAATCCCAATGACATTCTTCATGGAAATAGAACAAAGTATCCTAAAATTCATATGGGGCAATCAAAGACCCCAAATTGCTAAGGCATTCTTGAGGAAAAAAAAACAAAGCTGGAGGCATCACAATTCCTGACTTCAAAATGTGCTACAAAGCCATAGTGATCAAAACAGCATGGTACTGGTACAAAAACAGGCACACAGATAAGTGGAACAGAACTGAAAGCCCAGAAATAAAACCACACATCTTCAACAAAGGTGCCAAGAACATACAATGGAGAAAAGACAGTCTCTTCAATAAAGGGTGTTGGGAAAACTGGACAGCCACATTCAAAAGAATGAAAATGTACCATTATCTTACACTATACACAAAAACAAACCCAAAATGGATCAAAGACTTGAAGATAAGTCCTGAAACCATAAAACTCCTGGAAGATAACACAGGTAGTACACTCTTTGACATCAAACTTAAAAGGATCTTTTTGAATACCTCATCTTCTCAAACAAGGGAAACAAAAGAAAAAAATAAACAAGCGGGAGTTCATCAGACTGAAGAGCTTCTGCAAGGCAAAAGAAACTAGGATCAAAACAAAGAGACAACCCACCAATTGGGAGAAAATATTTGCAAATTACATATCTGACAAGGGGTTAATCTCCATAATATATAAGGAACTCACACAACTGAACAACAAAAAAACAAACAGCCCGATCAAAAAATGGGCAGAGGAGATGAACAGACATTTTTCCAAACAAGATAGACAGATGGCCAATAAACACATGAAAAGATGTTCAACATCACTAATCACCAGGGAAATGCAAATCAAAACTACACTAAGATACCACTTTACACCTGTTAAACTGGCTATAATCATTAAACTAAAAACAACAAGTGTTGGAGAGGATGTGGAGAAAAGGGAATCCTCATACACTGCTGGTGGGAATGCAAACTGGTGCAGCCACTATGGAAAACAGTATGGAGATTCCTCAAAAAACTAAAAATAGAAGTACCATGTGACCCAACTATCCCACTACTGGGTATCTACCCAAACAACTTGAAATCAACAATCCAAAGTAACATATGCACCCCTATGTTCGTTGCAGCACTGTTTACAATAGCCAAGACATGGAAACTATCCAAGTGCCCACTGATCGATGATTGGATAAAGAAGAGGTAGTATATATATTTACAATGAAATACTACTCAGCCATAAAAAAAGACAAATTCATCCCATTTGCAATAACATGGAAGGACCTAGAGGGAATTATGCTAAGCGAAATAAGCCAGACTGAGAAAGACAAACACCAGATGATTTCACTCATATGTGCCATATGAACAAACACATGGACAAAGAAAACAGTTCACTGTTTACCAGGGGAAGGGGGGTGGGGTTGGGCACAGGGGTGAAGGGGAGCACCTATGTGGTGACAGACAAGAAATAATGTACAACTGAAATTTCACAATGATGTAAACTATTATGAACTCAATAATGAAAAAAAAAGATTAAAAGAATGAACAGGGCCTCATGACCTGGAGAACAATATCAAAAGGTCTAATTTGTAATTTGAGTCCCAGAAGGAAAAGAGAGAAAGATATTTGAAGAAATAATAACCAAAATTTTTCCACATTTGGTGAAAGAATAAATACATAAATGTATAGACTCAAGAAGCTCAGGGACCACCCCCCAAAGCCAGAAAATATAATGAATCTCTTTAACATTCCAATATTGCTTAGGTGCTTAATAAAAATTTCTTTTATCTTCAATTTAAAATCAGAAGTATAAAAGTGATTACTCAACTACAACTTTTAAATGGCCGTCATAAGACAAGTCTGACAGATATTCTAATATGGATTCTAGGACCAGTCTGCCTGGGTTTCAAATGAGGCTTGGCCACTAGTAAACTGTGTGGCTTTCAGCAGTTACTAAACCTCTCTGTGCCTCAATTTTCTCACATGTAAAGTGGTGATAATATTACCTACCTCATAGAGTTGTTATAAGGATTAACAGAGTTAACCTTGTGAAGAGTTTATATAGTACCTGAAACTCAATAAATGTTAGCTATTATTATTCAGCCAGATCTCCTTAAACATTACAAACACTTAAAATGCCAAAAATACACAAATTATACCTAAGCCTAACAAAAAACTATAGGTTTGATTTACTTCATCATCCTATATTTAATTCTAAATCTTCCCAGATTTAAAAGACACTTACCCACTAAAGCAACATTATTACTGCCGTGTACAAGTTATCTCAGCAGAGTGAGGTTGCTTACCATTCAAAAACTCTGAGCCACAAAATGAGCTGTGGGGCCACACACAAGCAAGAGAGTTCCCATGGCCCTGACCACATGTTGAGCAATTTTTTATCGTCACTATACAAGCAAGACTTCATTCTCTCCCTGTGTATTGTGGTTATTTGTTCCCAGGAATTTCTAATACCCACACCCAGTGCCTGGTACATAGTAGAGTAGATGTGCCAATAAATATTTCTTGATCAATGATGTATACACATTAAATAGATGAATAGGTAGGGCCAGGGCTAGATGCAAGATAATTAAAATGAGAGTTTGGGGAAATCAGCCATGGGAAACTGAGAAAATACTTCACTATCCACTACCTTTATCTTTTCTTTACTCATCTACAAAAGAAATGACCAATGGTAAGATGAGGTAGAAGAAATGATCCCAAAGGTAGGCTACACATACCTGAAACTCCTCCCTTCCAGCATAACATGTTTTGAGGAATAAAGATGCTTTAAATAAAAGGCTCCATTGAGAAGGCTATATTTCTCACCCGCTTGGCTGTGGTACGTAAGCTATCCCCACCAGCTTTGCTCTAATCCTCGGCATCTCCTGCCTACTAACAGGTTTTCCTACCACCAGGCTCTCTCTATTTTAATCCACCTCCATAGACACAAGGAATTCTTCTGAAACAGCAATATGACCAACTTACTCTGTACCTAAATCTATGGCTCCTGAGTACTTATAGTATGTGATGTTCAAACTCTGTATTCACATTATTCAGGTCCTTTATGATCATGTCCCCATGTTCCTTTCTAGTTCCATCTTCTGTCCACAAGTCTTAGGATCCAGTCACCCTGAACAACTCACTGCTCCCTGAGGTGTCACACATCTTCGTTTGTCCCTGCCTTTGCAGATGCTATCTCCTCTGCCTGAAATACCACTCCCAAAGTCCTCTGCCTAGCAAACTCCTGCTTATCTTGCTCAAAGATCACCTCTACAAAATCTCCCATCTCCACCAAGCAGCGACATCATCCTCTTTTGTGCTCCTATAGCTATCTGTACAGCTCTCTATCATGCCATGTATCATGCTGCACTGGGACCGTTGGCTATAAAGGGTGTCCCCACCAGCCTGTGAATTCTCACAGAGCAAAGGCATTAACTTAGCTCTGTGTCAGCAGTTCCTAACACAGGTGAAAGGCCGGCCTAAGTGGGTGCTCATAAATGTTTGTGGGATAAATAAAGCAAATACAGGAAGGTAGGGTCGTGACTAAGACCAAGGCTTTACAGTCAGACCAAGCTGGGTTTCAATCGCAGGTGCCACCATTTACTAGCAGTGTGGGGCCTTGGGCATAATATTTACTTCACTGCTCTGAGTCTCACCTACTCACTTTTAAAGTTTTTTTCTTTTTTCCTTTTTCTCGCCAAAGCCCCCCAGTACATAGTTGTATATTCTTCGTTGTGAGTCCTTCTAGTTGTGGCATGTGGGACGCTGCCTCAGCGTGGTTTGATGAGCAGTGCCATGTCCGCATCCAGGATTCAAACCAACGAAACACTGGGCCGCCTGCAGCAGAGCACGTGAACTTAACCACTCGGCCACGGGGCCAGCCCCACCTACTCACTTTTAAAAAGTTGATAATCAAAGTACCTACTTCAGAGGGTTTTGTGAGAACTAAATGAGATGAAGTATGCACACAGCACTGAGTACAGTACTTGGTATCACAGTAAATGCTCAACAGACAGGCGCTAACAACAATAGTGCATAATTACTAATAATACAATCTCCAAAACTGAAAATAGACTATCACAGGCATGACCACAACTCGATCTCCCACTGGGTTTGTACAAAGTTACATACCTGTTTTCCACTCAGTTGGTAGAAAGAAAGTTTCTGTCCCCAGTCAGCTACAGCCAGGATATCATTATGTTCCTCTCTAATCAACAGAAGACAAAAGAGGTTATGGGGGGTCATGGCCTGCTGATAAGTGTAGCCAAAAGGGTTTAACAACAGGAAAAAGAACACCCTGGCCAGGCTGTCAGATTGCCAAATGTTGTATAGCAGTACTGAGGCCAAAAGTTGTAACGTGGGCCAACCTATCAATCAGTCCAACGGCATGAGGTGAGATGAGGTTTGGCCCTCCTGGGATCTGTTATTTCACTAAATGCCCTACCAGGAGCTAGTGGTGCTGGGATGCTGCCACAGTGAAGAGGCTAACCCCTCATTTCAAAGCTTCCTGGGAGCAATACTAAGAAAGAGCAAGGTTGCAGATCCAAGAGTGTTTTTCTCTTATGTACCATAAAATGTGAGGAGATGGTGGAGAAACATGTCTTTTGCAGTGGGAAGGCATGGACTGTCTGATCTTTTTAAGGGACAGAGGGAAACCTTGCTTGCTCTTCCTGAAGAGGGTAAATTACACCTAAAGCTAGGTTCTCTCACAGTTAGGGTTCTTGCACAGGTGAAATGCTTTCTGACTGTATCTAATAAAAAAGAATAGAGGGCTCTCTGAAGACCAACAACTATCTTTGAAACTGAGTACCTATCACTATCAGAGTGTTGGGACCAGGGCTGTAGGACCAGCACACAGCTGAGGCCGGGGATCAGGCTACTTGAGAATCTAGTTCAAGAGAGAGACGTTCCCAGCCTTTGGGACCTGGTTTCAATCCACCTAATGTTGCCTCCTCTTCGTTGATTAATTCCAGCTTTTTGAGCTCAGGGCCTTGTGGTCATCTGGCAGTACCAACAGATATGCAGGCAAGGCATGGTACAGCCTCATCTGTAAAACCCAGCCAAGAGTGGCAAAGTGGCAAAGATCACAGGCACTAATTCATAATGAATGGAAAAAAGACGAAGATGGACAGGGATGTCAACAGAAACGGATCTGCAGGAGAACTTATGTGACTGGCACTGAAGTCGAGACCCAACGCAGGAGCCCAGGCTGCAGTTAGCCCTCTTGGGGAGGCCACATATGGCTCTGTGCTGGGTTCAGCCCCCATGAGCTGAACTGATGGTTTTCAAACTCTTTTTTCCCCTTTTCTTCCCTGGCAGTGGGACTCTTAACCAAAACAAAAACCCAGGTCAAGCAACAAAAGGGGCTACTCTGGTTGAAGCACAGATGGGGACTGAAGCCCACCCTTTTCTCCTTTTCTTTCCCCCACCTCCCACCTCTTTCTTACAAGGAACCCCAGGTACCACAGAACACAGTTCAGAAAGTCCCATGCTAGATCACTTTTGCCCAACCTGAATATGGTGGTTACTCCAGCTTTCTCCATTCCAGCCTGCCAGTGTTTTCCCTACAGGGAATCTCCATTGGACAGCAGAAGGCGTGGACAGCCAGGATTCGGGTGTGAGGATTGTGGGCAAGGGCTTCCTCTCTGATATGTGTCCCAGCAAATGCACGGTAAGGTACAGTGTGGGAACAGACTAAGAAAGGCGTCCCATAATAGAGAAAGTGTTCAATGAATTATGGTGCATCCACGCAAGGGCATACTATGCAGGCCTTAAAAATCATTTTTTTCAAAGTATCCCTAATGTTACTAGAAAGAGTTCATTCTACGATGTTAAGTGGAAAGAAAGAAAGTAGGATATGATTTAGTTAATTATATGAACCCCCTAAAAGACTGTGGAGAAATAAGTTAAAATGCTAATACTAGTTTCCTCAGAGGATGAAATTTTACAGAAAAATTGGACTTTCTCCTTTAGACTTTTTAGTCTTTCCTAAAGTTTCTCAAAGAATAACTGTATAACCCCCACACAAGTTTTAAGGGTGTATTCCCCCCTGTTACAGGGGCTTTTATCAACAACGCCCCCAACCCCTCTTAGAAAGGAGCTTCAGAGCAGTGTCTGCCCTGGCAAGTCAATGCCGAGGCCTGGACCCTTCCAAAGTGGGTGCTCGCTCCTCAGGACACACTCACGAGTTGTCGTCCCTGGAACTGTCGTCTTCTTCCTCTGGCTCTTCCTCCTCTGCCTCACTACCCTGACTACTGTACACTGCTGACTTCAGAGAAGAAGGGATTTCCTGAAAATATCTGTTGACAATGACTTCCTCAGCATCCTCGTTCTCTCTGTTCATCCAGAAACTCTCCCATCGGCTGTAGACAGTAAGTGGTTGTTCACAATCACGTTGCCTAGAACTACACTAAAGCTATAATTTCAAAACCTGTCAAGGAGCCCCTGAACGCTGCCCGGAAGAAGAGAGCAACCAGGTACCTGGGCATCCTGCTTCTCATGAATTAAAAATGGTATCATGAAGCCACAAAGTCATCTGTGGCCACAAAATCAAACAGCAGGAACTCTGGGGTAGGCTAATGGCCTTTGAAGGCATCAGACATGCATGGTATAGCCCTGGGCTGGACAAAATTAGTCAGGAAGAAGCATAATAATCTGGTATCAGAAAGGCAATGGAATTAAACAACCTTCTAAATCAAAGAGGCACCACCTGTAAAACGACACTGGGCTGGTACACAATTAAGTCCTTTGATTTATCTTGAGAGGACTCTGAGGGGGGTACTAGTCGTTTAATAATATTATAGGATTACATAAGAAGCATCTAAAGCTGTTAGTCCACCCTCAAAGTCACATGGGCATAGGAAGGAAACTGTGTGTACGGTTTGAGAAGAAGATGCCAATTGTTTGTGGAACTATAGGCTTTAGGGACATTTGTATACTTAATTTTGACTTTTTTGGCAAGGGCAGCAAAAAAGACTCATGAAAAAGCTACTTCTTATTGAGTGGGCACATGTTCTGCCCAGACTTGGAGGGAAGAACTGAAAAACAGAAAAAAGCAAAATAAAGCCACAGCAAAGAGGTAAGCTATTAATTCATAAAGAAATGGCCTTCCTGTGTCACATGCACGCGCACACGTGCACACACACACACTTAAGAGTGGCCCAGATAGCTCATCTGCTTAGCTAAATCTCTCAGATTCATTCCAACACTCAAGCTATGCTCTTAAAAATTTCCGTTCAAATGGAACAGGTTCCACAACAGATCAGTCAAATGGGGTAAAAAGGCTTTGAATGCACGGAGACCTCAGGAAGAGAGAAAGAACTCAGCCTGCTGAGAAAGCCCTTCTTCATAATAGTATTTGCCCTAGAAGGAGAGCTATCAGATCACCTGGAAGGGTTCCAGCAGATGGACCATATGGGGGAGAGGGAGCCCCCTGGCCGCTCAATCTTCACTTTCTCCTCGCCATTTTTGTTCCGTATGCTGATGATCCCATTGAACATCCCCAGAGCCAGGTACTGTCCATCATTTGTCCAGCTGTTCATGCAACCAACAAACGGCATGGAGAGAAGGAAAAGAACACACAGAAGGTAAAACCAGTGACAATGATGCCTTGAATGAAACATAGTGTGATGAGGCAGCAACAGCTGGGATCATCCTGGTCTTGATGTAAAAGTCAGAGGACCAAACTTAAAATCCCATTTACTTCTGGAATCAACAGTGAGATGTGAAGGTAGCAGCACCTTTTTCTGAGCTCCCACAGCTCTCTGTACATCCCTCCACAAAAGCCCTTAGCTTGTGCCTGCATTGCTGGGCCAACCTCCATTTCCACTCAACATTTCAACCTCCTCCCACTTGAAGAGGGCCTAAGAACAGAATCTGTGTCTTGGTATATTCCCAGCCTCTAGAACAGGTGCTTAACAGATGCTGAATGAAAGAAGGGCTACACTCAGAAGCTGCACAGCCAGAACAGCTACCATTTATAGAGTGCCTACTATATGCCAGGCACTGTGCTGCTTGCTTTATACTCCTTAGTGTGCATTTCACAACAACCCTATCAACTCAGTATTTTTATCCCCGTCTGTCAGATGAAGAACCTCCTAAGGTCACAGAGCGTGCCAGTGACCAAAACTGGATTTGAATCTAGGTCTAGCATCAAAGCCTGCGCTTTCTTTAGTGCACATGCTGCCTGGACAAGGACAGCCTCCACTGAGTACAGCTTCAGGCTGAGGAGGGTTGTTGCTAGAAAATTGCACAAAAGGCAACCTATAGTTCTCTTTTGCTTGATAATCAAAGGCACAGGTCCTTCCCATCAAGGAGACCATAAAAGAAGAAAAGAGGAAATACAGGGACCCACACCAACTAGGTAATACAAGACCTTCTCTACTGTGTGAAGGTGAACTAACTGGCTTCTGAGAGTCTGTTTGGAAGAGGAGGGAACACAAAGCCCACCTTCAGAGCTGCCTTAACTCACCTGCAGCAGGTAATCTTGCTGCTGGATTTGTGCTTGGAGACAGACTTCTGTTCAGGAGACCACAAGCCTTCAATGCAAAATAACATAAAAGAAAATAGATTGGTTGGACTATTACTCAGCAATAAAAAGGAACAAACTGTTGATACATACAACACCACAGATGGATCTCCAGGGCTTTATGCTGAGTGAAAAAAGCCAGTCTCAAAATTTCATATATGGTATGATTCCATTTTATAACATTCTCAAAATGACAAAATTACACAGAGATGGAAAAGAGAGTAATGGTTACCAGGTACCAAGGGTTAGGGATAATAGGAGGTTGGGGGAGATGACGATAAAGGAGGATCTTTGCGGTGACGGTTATCTACACAGGTGATGAAATGACAGAACTATCTACACACACTGCCATGCCCCATTTCCTGGTTTTGATATTGTACAACAGTTATATAAGATGTATCCATGGCGGAAACTGGATGAAGGGTACAGAGACCTCTCTACAGTCTTTCCAACTTACTGTGAATCTATAATTATTTTGAAAGAAAAAGAAAAAAAAGGAAGATAGATTGGTAAATTTCTAGCCAAATTTTCAGGGGTTTCACTCAAAGAAATGACAACTTCACTGTTCATAAATATTACATTGCAACCAGAGTATAACTTAATATTTAAAGTAAAGAATGACGCTTTCTGAAAATCCAGTCTCCTCTCCCGGGCCTCACCCACAGGACATGACCCTATCTGGGCTGTGCCTCGTCCATGGCACACTGGTTACCTTTGGCTTGCTCCCTCCTGCCCTTAGATGCTCTGGCTCAGTGCCCACAACAGGTGTATGTTCAGACAACATAAGCAAAGTCTACTCTTTGCCTGGGCCGTGAAGCATGATCAAGAAGGTAAATCTAGGGCAAAAATATATTTACATAGCAAGGTGCAACATCAAACAAACTTTGTTTCCCCTCTTGCCTGGTCCAGAATGCCTCCTCCAAACATTTCAACCTGTGTACATATCATCTATCTTCCACTAAGCCTGCCAAGAGCCTCCAGATGGAGGAAAACTGCCCTTCCTGGGTCTCCCTCAGCAGTGCTCACCAGAGCACTTGCCATGCAATTGCACGGCCGAGTCCAAGCCCTGGTTCCACCACTTACCGGGCTGGGTGACCTCAGGTGAGTCACTGAACTGCTCTAAGGCCGTTCTCTTTCATCAGTGGAATGGGAATGAGAATAACACCTGATCTCAGGGGTTGTCCTAGAGCTCAAATAGGAATTCATTTTTAACCCTTAGCACAGTGCAAACATTCAACAAATATTATTATTACTTAATATTATATTTTTCCAAATCCTACCTCCCCACCTGCCCCTGACCAGAAGCTCTTTGAGGGCAGGAATCCTATTTTGTTTTTTTAATTCCAAAAGTATGCACACAGACAGTGCCTCACATGGAGAAAATGCTAAATTGTTTAATAAATGACAGTCACTTCCCCTTTTATTTATACAATGTGCTTTCAATTACATTCTCTCTTTTGAATCTCAGAACTCTACCAGTGAGATAGACAAGTGGGAACGTGTTCATCTTAGATAAGGGAAGTGAAACACTCAGAGGAATTAGGTCTCTCACGCCTCGATAACAGCTGTTCTGTCGTACCCACTATCTCTTAGCAAGGAAGACACAACTGCTGAGCTGGAAGCCAGACTCCACCTTGCATAGAGATAACCCATAAGCTCTGTCCACTTTCCCTCCCTGCCTCAACAGACCTTTCACTGGCCTCTCTTCTGTGCCAGTGCCATATGAGTGCCACGTGTGGGGCGAGGGAGAACTCCTCAGGGCTTGAGCCCCTCAGGGAGGACAGCTACAGCCACCAAACAAGTTAATGGTGACACACGGCACAAGAAGCACAGTTCACACGTACACGAATGCTGGGAGACACGGAGGTGAGGACAACTGAACTGCCCCTGCCAGGGTGAGGCGGAGAAGGCTTCCCAGAGGCGGCAACACCAAATTATGCCTCTGCTCTCCCATTTCCCTTCCTTGGGGCCCTTCTTGCTGTCTCCCAGATTCCGTACCAGACTCAAAGTCACTACTCACTCTCTGGGTTCCACACAGTTCAAAGAACACCTGTCAGCCTCCCCTCAGCAGTGAAGGGAGAGAAGTGGCATTAACTCTCAGGAGGAAACGGTCACATTCTGGATGCATTTCAGCATTTTTTGCCTAGATTTTCAGTTATTTCAGAACAAGACATCAGGAATCAGAACCTACCAAAGTCATTGGAGGAACAAGATGCCAGCTGATGGGTAACAGGGTTGTAGGAGACACACTGGATAGAATCATTGTGCCTGGGAAGTAAACAAGTGTAGATTACCATGTAGCAAACCACAAACGTTTCAGTGGCTACAACTGAAGATTTTGATGATGAACCCATAGCCTCTCTGACTACACACCACAAGCTTGTATGCAAGTGACCAACAAAAAGCACAGGGATGAATTCTCCCCCCCGGATGGCCCCTCCCTCACCCTTTTCATCTCTTAAACATTACCCACCCATCACCCTGGCCTAGCGTAAACGCCACCTCTTCCAGGACTAGCGTGCTGGACATCTCTGGTTTGTGAGCTGATAAAGACAATGATGTAAAGCACCTAGCCTAGCACCAGGTGCAAAGGAGGCGCTTTATTAAGGGCTATTACTCTTAATGCTTTGTGGAGACCTGGAAATCCAAGATGGAGGTGCAATGAAGATATGACAGGCTAAGATCTGGAAACATGGCAAATCCGGAGACAACAATGAAAGCTGAGTGAGTCACGTGCCACACATGGCATCTCAGCCTCAGTTTTATGCCTTCACTTCTGGGTAACACTTTAGTTACAACCTCATTCATTCATTCTTTCAAAAGTTGTTTGTTGATTTGTACACCCATGTTCAAAGCGGCATTATTCAAAATAGCCAAGAGGTAGAAGCCACCTAAATGTCCATCAACGACAGATGAATGGATATACAAAATGTGGTCTATACATACACTAGAATATTATTAAAAATTCTTAAAAAGTAAGGAAATTCTAACACATGCTACAACATGGATGAACCTTGAGGATATTATGCTAAGTGAAATAAACCAGTCACAAAAGGACAAATATTGTATGATTCCACTTACATAAGATGCCTAGAGTAGTCAGATTCATAAAGACAGAAAGTAGAATGGAGGTTGCCAACGGCTGGGGGCAGGGAATGGGAGTTGTTGCTTAATGGGTATGCAGTCTCAGTTTTACAAGATGAAAAGAGTTCTGGAGATTGGTTTCACAAAAACATGAAAGTACTTGCTACTGAACCATACATTTAAAAATGGTTATGATGGTTATAACTTTTATGTTATGTGTGTTTTACTGCAAGTAAGAAGAAAAAAGCAAAAAAATCATTTGTTGAGTACCTACTATAGGCCAGGCACTGTACTAGACAGCAGGGACACAAGGGTGAGCAAAAACAGATGCAGTGCCTGTCCTCATGGAGCTTACAGGCTGACGGGAGATATCAATCACCAGAATAAATGCAAAACTACAACTGTGAGAAATGCCATGAAGGAAACTCGGCCGAGTCCAGAGGGGCAGAAAAGTCTTTGCAGAAGCAGCAGCATCTGAGCCTGAGATCTGCAGAGTGAGAAGGGGTTAACTAGGTGGAGGAACAGGAGGGACGTGAGCAGAGCCCCTGCAGTGAGAGGAAGCCCAGAGCACACCGACCAAGTTTCTGGCTGTCGACACTGGGTGGTCATGAAGCCATTCCCTGATATGGGGACACTGGAGGAAGACAGGTTGGGGTAGGGGGGAATGTGGGATGTCAGATTAACGAAACTGAGCTATAGGAAAACACCTGGCCCAGGGCTGGCCAAGCTAGTAGTGCTCAAGAAATGTTCATTCACTTACCCTTACCCAACCTTCTCAACCCACCAGACTCCCACAACTGCACTTCAACTTCGACTGCAGAGAAAAACGCTCTTCCTCGTGTCTTTCATAAAGGGCTTTTGCTACAGTCACTCAATAAGAGAAGAGTCAAACTAATAGCACCATGCACCTCACTGGTTACTCACGTGTACTTCAGAATGCCTTCCAATTTTGACGTCCAGATAATAACGCTTTTGTCAGCTGATCCAGAAGCAAAGCGCTTGCCTAAAAGTGTTTTTAAAAAGAAAATTCTCACATTTATTTTAAAGACTTTTTTTTTTCCTTTTTCTCCCCAAAGCTCCCTGGTACATAGTTGTATATTTTTAGCTGTGGGTCCTTCTAGTTGTGGCACGTGGGACGCCGCCTCAGCATGGCCTGACGAGCAGTGCCATGTGCGCGCCCAGGATCCAAACCAGCCAAACCCTGGGCCGCTGAAGCAGAGCGCGTGACCTTAACCGCTCGGCCACGGGGCCAGCCTCTCACGTTTATTTTAAAACGGCATTTCCCAGAGAGTATTTCTTAGAAAACGAGCTCTTTAAGCTACCTAACAAGTGTCAGCTGCTTCTCTACCACCTCTTATCAGTACCAGGTGGCAGTACTTTGGAGTCAGGAAGTTCGGGTTCAAACCCTGCTTTGTCCAGCACCGAGTAAACAAAGATGGCTTGAGGACCTACCATATGCTAGCTATCATGTTCTGTGCTAGGGATTGAGTAGTGATTAAAACACACATGATTCCTGCCTTCATAGAGTTTAGCATAGTGGGAAAAGTACTAATCCAATACAAACACACTGTGGTAAGAAAAGAATGGGGTCCTATGAAAAAGAATAACTGGGGGACCTAATTTAGATTAGGCAAGACTTCTCTGAGGATAAGATCCTTCAGCCGAGACCTAAAGGAGGAGCAAAGCTTAGCCAGGTGCAAAGAGAGGAGAACGATCCATCCACATGGCTAGAATAGATGTGCAAAGGCCCTGAGGCAGGAAAAGCCTGGCATGTTTGAGGGGCTGAGAGGCAGCCAGCATGGAACACCAAGGGCAAGGGGTGAGGGGGTGAGAGAGGGATCTCTAGGTGCTTCAGGGCCACAGGTGAGATCTTGCTCTTTATCCCAAAGAAAGGCTTTAAGCAAAAGAGTGACAGATGAGATTTTCATTTTTATACTACTTGGGCTTTATGAAAGAAGGGACTGGAGAAAGGCAACATATAACAAACAATTACTTATTAATTACATTGTAATTAATATTTTTTACAAATTTGCAGGTGCTTAGAAGTGGAGCAGGGTATCATGGCAGCAAACAACAGGGAGCCTTTACCTATTCTGTTAAGAGATGACAATTAAGAGCTAAGTACGAACCAGATTTTGTACACCTTGTTAAGGATTTTTAGACTTTATTCTTAGGGTAAGTCACTGTTCTCTGAGTCTCAGTGTCTTCATCTGAACCATAATAACACCTTCCTCAGAGGCTCTTTGTGGAGGTCAACTAAGATTATATCTGTAAAGCACCTTTCACAGTGGCTGAGATAGTAGGTATTAGGGTGATCCATACGACATTGCTGCAAATACTAAATAAACGGAAGCTGCCTGTATTTATTACTATTTCTGTCACTCCTCCCTCATACTGGCAGGCAGATGGTGATGAAGAGTGTGCGCTCCAGGCCCACGTTTGGGTTGGACTTCCCAGTGATGTCACTTACCAGTTGCAGGACCCGGAACAAGCTACTGGACATCTCTATGCTTTTATTTCCTCATTTGAAAAATGGATGCAACAATACTATTTACCTCATAGTTGTGAAGATTAAATGAGATTAAAATGCTAAGACAGTGCCTGGAATGGAACAAATGCTAAAAAAAAAAATAGCTATTATTATTGTTATTTCTTCACACTGGCTTGTATTGTTTTCCTTGAACAAAAAGACTAGTTCTTACACACCTGTGTATCATGGTTGCTCATTAAATAGTTATTAAACTTAAGGGAGAAATCAGAAACAAGCAGACTTAAAGAGCAAAGCTGCAATTCAGTGTATCTCCATTCCCAGATCCAAGGGGAAAAGACCAGTTTAGAGGAACCAGAAGCCTTCTTAATCGTCACGTAAGCGTCGTGAGGAGGCAGAATGAGAGACCAGGAAGAATGAGGGCTCTGCAGTCGGGAGACCTCAGTCAGGCCCAGCTCTGCCACCATCACCTGCAGTTGCTCCAAGCCCGTTTTCTCATCTGTGAGAAGAGCCAAGAATCCCTTCCCTGCCTGCCTCAGAGGGCTACTGGGAGGATCAGATGAGATGATGTGTGTGACAGGACTCTGCCAAGTGCTAACAAATGCCACTGATGGCAGGGCACACTCTGACATCCTCAAGGGCATTAAAGATGTTGCAGGCCAAAGAGCCCCTAGACCTATGAACTCCAGAGGCCCCCCAGGTCTCCCCACAGTATTATTCTGAACTTGAACTCAAACACGCATATAAAAAACCTGACTACTGTGGCACACTCGGCCACAGGGCAAGAAATTGGTGTTGTCTTTACCACTAACTTGCTGCACGACCATAGCAAGTCACTTGATTTCTCTAGGCCTTTATGTGGGGCTAAAATGAAAAGATTGGGCTAGATCAGACTAAAACCGTATGCACGAAATTGTGTGTATCCCTGAAGTATGTGCATTTTTCTAGAAAGGTGTCTATAGCTTACATCGGATTCTCAAAAGATGTCTGCCACCCAAAAGAAGTTAAAAACCTGGAGCCTGATGATCTCCAAGGTTCGTTTAAGTACTATAACACTCTGATTCTATGACTTCTTGGCAGAGGGCACAGAATCTTATCTCTAACTCCATATCCACTTGAGGAAACCGAGACTCAGAGAGATTCAATAACCACCTCAAACTCACAGAGCTTTTGGGGTTGGAACTTGAAGCCGTCTCATTTCGAAGCCCATGTTCTTCCCACTAATCCCATGCATGGGTAGCACAGATTTCTTTTTAACTCTCAATATCAATTTCATGCACCCATTCTCTGACTACCACCTCTCCTCTTCCTCACCCACCTGGTGCCATAACTCCAATAATCCTTCAACCCCACCAGAACCTACCACCTCTCCTCTGCCCCTCACCCCTTGTGGTCCTCTCACCCCTCATTACTCAGCCAACAGTTCAAGGTCAATGTATATAATCACTCCTTTGCATACATCCTCTGCTCCCTTGCCCTCTTACTTCATCTTCAAAGGTGCTTGCAAACCCACCCCTCTGGTTAAATCCAACTCTCTACCTCCTTTGCTCCTGTATCTATGCAGCTAAAAGCGGTGGAGAAAAAGACATAATCACACCACTGATCTCACTTTCAATTAATCATCACCAGCTTCAAGTGGGCCCTTCATATCACTAGAGACCTCACTATACCTCTGAGGTCCATTCACTTAGCTGCTTTACTAGGCAATGATTTTACATTGTTTCCTTTCTCCTCAACTCTCTGACACCCCTTCTCCATCCTCACTCTCAGTTGATGTTGCTTCCTATTTCACTGAAAGAATGGAAGAAAATTTCCATTGGACTCCTACTATCAAATGCCCCCTACTGCCAGCACTTGCAGGGACATCCTCTACTTTCCCACCATGTCCCATTTATGCCCTAAATCTCATCTCCTTTTGCCCATTCAACGACTCTGTTCTGGCAATTCCGTCCCCTCTCTCCTACAGTGTCAACTTCTCTCAAGTTCCACATGTCCAAGACGGAACTCCTGATGTTCCACGTTAAGTTTCTCTATCCGTGACCTTCCCCATCTCAGTGGAGGGCAACTCCATCCTTTCAGTCGCTCAGGTCAGAAACTTGGAGTCACCCCTGACTCCTTTCTTCACACCTCACATCCAATTTGTCAGGCAATCCCATCGGCTCTACCTTCAAACTATATCTAGAATCTCACCACCTCCACCACTTACTCTGCTCCCACAGAGGTCTGAGCCACCATCACCAGTGTTATAAAACCTATCTAGATGATGCCTCCTCACTCATCTCCTTGCCCCAATCCTCACCTCTTGTAGGCTGTTTCCAAAACAGCAGCTAGAGGGATCCTTTTAAAATATAAATCAGATCAGATCTCTCCTCTGTTCAGAACTCTTTAGTTCCCCATTTTCACTGAGAATCAAGGCCAAAGTCCTTATGACAGCGAACATCCTTACAATAGCCAACATGATCTGGCCACCCACACCTGTTACCTCTCTACTCTCATCCCTACTGCTCCCCTGATTCTCTCTGCCCAGTCCCTGGAAGGCACCCTCCCACTTGAGGGTCTGTGCAATGGCTCTTCCCTCTGCGAGAAGCTCTCATCCACCAGATGCCCACTGCCAGGATCTCACGCCTCCCTACCTACAAATCTTTGCTCACCTGTCCCCTTTGCTCACCTGTCAATAACACCCCCACTACCCTATTCAATACTATACCCAATCCCCTGCCCAATCCAGCTCTCTTAATCCCCCTTATTTTACCCTACCTTTTCTTCTTCCTTAACACTTACCTTCCAGCATACTGCTTAATTTACTAATTTACTATGTTTAGTCTATGTTTTCCCTCATACTGTCCCCCACCCCCCCACAGATATAAGCCCCATATGGGCAGGGATCTTTGTCTGTTTTGTTCTCTGAAGGATCTCAAGCAGCTGGAACAGTGCCTGGCACATAGATGGCCCTCAATAAATACTTGTTGAATTGAAGTCTAAGAGACTTAACTATCTTCTGAAACTGCAAGTTGTACTTTGGCTTACTAAAAATAATTAAGGAACGACTAAGGAGAAAATGAATAGCTATAAGGCCATTACAGAGCCTGTAAACACAGAGCGGCCTCTTACCATCCTTCGCGTATGCCACACAGTAAACAGTATCTTTGTGTCCCTTTAAGGGCTGAAGTAAGGTGCCATCAGAAGTGTCATAAACCTGTCAAAAAGGGGGACACAAGTAGATTATCCACATGGCATCCATTAGTCAGAATTCTTGCAGGTTGCTGCTGCTATTTTTGTTTTTATAAAAAAAAAAATGTCAATGTTCTAAATTTGCATCAAGTAAAAACTGCACTGAGAGAGAGGTAAAAACCAGACAGAATGTGACTTAAAGTTGGGAAACCCAAGAATGAGAAGTCTTGACTCTGTGCATTACAGCCAGGAACATGCTATTGATCCTCCAGGAGCAAAAGTTCACTCTGTGGAACTTCTCTACAAAGTTCACACATCTTGCATGAATTTGAATATATGAACAATCAAGCTAGGCCCTCCCAAACAAAGCTAGCATATACAAAGAGCCAGCTACAACATGATTAAATTTTAGTGCTAGCCCTGCCCCTAATATCAACATCATAGAGAGATGTTTTGTATTTGCTACCAAGAGTTTGAAAGTCACAGACCTGAACTCGGGGTTTGCAAATCAGAGGGAGTGTTATAAAACCCAACTGTAACATGGATTTAGGATATTTTACAGCTGTGTAACATCTATAAATATGTGGAGATTTGAAAAACATGCCATCTGAGAAATCAAGGCCAAACCCTCCAGAAATCATTAGTGTTGCAGAAGATAAGCTATGAAAAAAAACTAAAAGGATTTGGATTGTTTACCCTGGAGAGAAGTCTGCAGAACAATTTAATCATGGTTTTAGGATTGAGTAGTTACAATACAGAGAATGGAGATAGTCAGTCTGCATATCTAGAAACAATAGAGTAAGAGGAAGTGGACTTACGCAGGAGGAAAGAGAGATCATACAAAGGTTTTTAGGTCAAACAGAATTCTCTGAAAATTACTTTTATACACTGGGATAGGTTCCAGAGGGAGCTTATATTCTTTGAAAGTATGAAAAATAGGACAGCATTGATATGGAATTGTTTAGGTAAGCCAGTTCCTAAAAGTTGGGGTCAGGCTATCTGGCTTCTCACGGAGGGAGCCCCTTCAGTCCTGTTGCCTGAGTTTTTCAGGGGGACAAAATGAAAACTGACACTAGTCCAGTTTCAAAGGCATTTTGATTGTTTCCAACTCTTTCATGGGTGTCTCGAAGTAAAAAGGGAAAGATTAATGACTCCAAAGGAGGTATTGTTCACAGGTTCCTATCTGACAGACCGTTTACTTACCTGTTTTAAATAGCCCATTTCCTTCCCTATTAAAAAGTAATGACTGGTTTTTCCGCCGTTGCTTTTTTTTATCTCAAAAAAAAAAGGGGGTCAAATTTCAGAGTGCTTACAAGAGGGAGAGGAAGAAAAGCACTTAAAAAGGAAACTCAGACAAAATCCTACCAGTAATCTGTTTCCTGCAGCCAAAATCAGTTGGGTTCCATCAGGCTTAAATGCGAGGTCATATATACTAAACAGGAGACAAAACAAGACAAAAGAACAATTAGGAACCAAAATGATGAGGTCTGCTAATGGCCAGGAAAGCAAACTTTATTTCCATTATGAAACACTGCTTGTGTATGAGGAAGAAAAATAATGGCGAAGAATTGCATTTGGTTGCAAATTCCATTCAACCACTACACCTTGGCAGCCCATTCAATCACAACCCACTGGGCAGTTAACTCTACGTTCCAATTTCCACTCATCCAGAAGCCAGACACCAGAGATGAGTCAGAGGGTCAGCAGTTGAGGGCACTAACTCTTCTAATAATACCATAAAAGCCTGAGAGAATGTGCAGGGGCTAGTAAATCGACACATCTCTAAAAAATTGGTCACATTAAAATATCATTATTATTTCCAATTAATTAGATACTTATTACCTTAGGTGCTAGGCACTAACAGATACAAGATGAGTAAATCATAGTCCCTCCCTGTCCTCAAGGAAACTACCATCCAGCAGGAGGGTGTGACTCAGACACATTCACAAAGAACTACCATGTGTCATCAATTCTAAAGCATACATTTTTGCATATTTTAACATCTCCGAGGTTGGGACATGTTTTTTTTGTTTTTGTGTGTGTGTGTGTGTGTGTGTGTGAGGAAGATTTGCTCTGAGCTGACATCCTTTGCCAATCCTCCTTTTTTTTTTTTTTTTTGCTTGAGGAAGATTAGCCCTGAGCCAACATCTGTGCCAATCCTGCTCTACTTTGTATGTGGGATACCACCACAGCATGACTGATGAGTGGAGTAGGTCGGCACCTGGGATCCAAACCTGGGAACCCTAGTCCACTGAAGCGGACCTTGTGAAACTTTAACCACTAGGCCACGGCGCCAGGCCCTGGGATGTGTCTTATAATTGATGACATGTCAGTTCAACTGGCAGTACTTTTTGCTTTCTTAGTGGTATGTAAAATAATGCTACTTTACAATCAGCGACCTCTTAGAGTAGATGAAATACAGAATAATACTGTGATAAAGACTTTAGGAGATATGTTAAAACATATATTATAGAATTCAAAGGAGGAAGACAGTGTTCTGATTTGGAGAGAGGATCAGAAAAAGCATCATAAAAAAACAGTATTTTAAAAAGGTAGGGCTTTTGTGACATGCAGGAGGAGACTGGGTAGGTGCAGCATTTCAGGCAGAGAAAACAAAAGTAAAGACACGAAGGGAGAACAGCAAATAATCTAATTTGATTGAAACATCTAAATATGTGCAAGGCAGTAGGGACAGATAAGACTAGAAAATCAGCCTAGAACTATATTACAACGATTCCTGAATGCCCCGAGCAGAGGATTTCATTAGTTCAGGTGACTCTAGTAAGAGTGTATCGGACAGTGTTGCCAGGACAGACTACTGTAAAAGTTTAGCATGTGTTAAGTTTCTCTGATAACTGAGAGTAATCTAAAATATATGCCTTTGGTAACAGTACTTGGAGCATTTACCACAGAGAGATCCCATGCTGAGCTCATCAAATGAATTGTTTTATTTCATCCTCACAATTCTATGAGGTAGGAATTATTACTTGATTTTGTAGTTGAGGACACCACGGCTCAGACAGGTCATTTATCTCACCCAACATCACATGACTAGCAAGTGAAAGGGCCAGAATTTCAAGTTGGGTCTGACTCTATAGAGTCTGTGCTATACTGCCATCCACTCTTTTCAATGATTGTCATGTATGATAAATCTGTTACCTTAATTCTTTAATAACAGTGGCTAACATTTATTTAGCACATTTATTTACTGTGTGTACTAAAGTACACTTTAAATGCTTTACATATATTAACTCACTTAATCCTCACAACAACTCTCTACCTATTTTGCAGACAAGAAAACTAAGGCACAGAGAAGTTAAATAACCCGCCCGAAAATACACTGCTACTGAGTGGAGGTGGAGCTAGAATCCAAACCCAGGCAGTCTGGCTCTGAAGTCCATGCTCTAACCATTATGCTCTGTGGCCTTCATTATCATTAGCATTAGCATATGCCATAGTTGACAAAATAATTAGCAGTCGTTTCCATGCTTTATCAACAACAACAACAAAAAAGGTATTATTACCTACTCAAAGCATTACATGTAGAATTAAGAAAGTTTTATATAGACTCTGTCGGCCTCAGAAGCTTACTTTAACAAAAACAGTTCTTCACATATATTCAACAGCTAAGAGTTGTTATAGAGTGTAAACTTACACCGTCTCATTTGATCCTATGATAACACAACGCAGCAAACAGGCCAGGTACTATTGGCCCATTTTTCTTGATGAGGAAACTAAAGTACAGAGGCAAGTCATTTGTCTGCTGTCACACAGTGGCTGACAGAGAAGCTGAAGAAGGATGACTGTTCCACCCTTTCCAGTTAGGCATCCCTCTTAATAGAAGCAAACACAGACTCTGAGTTCTTCAGCTTCCTCACTGCTAAGTAGCAACAGACCTGGGCCTTCTGTTTTTCAGGCTTCCGTTCTTTGAGATGGGGGGCGGGGGGGGGGGGGGGGGGCGGTACTTTGCATGTTTCACACTCTGAGGAGAAGCAGGCATTCGAGTGGAAAGCAGAGGGGAGCTAGGCCCAGAGGAGCTGACCTCCTGTCTGAGCTTGCGTCTTCACCTACTAAACAAGGATAGAGAGCTGCCCTTCCACCTCCCAGGGTGCTACAACCCAGCCTGGTGCAATGCATCTGACACCTGCAGGTTGCTATGATGAGGTATTCGGGAGTGGAAGCAGGTAAGGCCCACTCCCAGCCATTACATCTCCAGCACATTTTGTCTCTGAGGCAAAGTCAGTCCACTGTTTTGGCTAAAACTGTTTCTTGGACACACGTGCTATTAGTCACAACCAATTTTCTTCCAAACTCGAGGGGCAGTGGGTGGCATGGGGTTATTGGCAACAGGAAGAGGATCCATAGGCAATCCCAAGTCCATAAAGACTCCTCAGTGTCGCCTCTCCATGACCTCCAGTGGTTTGTCACTTCTGGCCCTCTTCTTGTCATTCCTATTCATACACTCTCTCTAAGTCTGACATGGATTTCCTTCTGTCACAGTCATACTAGCCTTCCAAAGTACACTACTGAAGGAAAGAGGGCAAACTGGGGCTTGGAAGACAGGCTTGTTGGCTTTCTCCTAGTGGCCTCAGACTATTTTTGTCTGGGGCCTACTTCATCTGCCCATTCTATTAAGTATGCCCAGCCCACAGGCACCTAGATGGCATCCTGACAGCTGGTGGGCACTGCTACACAGCTTGGTACACTGCCTTCTTAGTCTGTGACTCGCCCTACAGCATTTAGCCAGTAGGTCTGGCCAGGCCCATCCGTGAGCCACCATTTATTGGGACCTGAGCAATCCATTTAACTCTCAGAGTCTATAACCTCCTTCTGGAAAATGGTGTATTAATACTTGACTCATCAGCGCCAACACCCCTGGTCGTGGGGAAGATCAGGACTAAATTGGAAAGTATTTTGCAAAGGGTAAAGGATTACTTTAGTGTAAGGTATAATTTTAAACATTTGTGAATCCCGTTTGGTTAAAGTTCTGATTTTCGAGTATAATTATCACAAGGTATGGTTCCTCCACCATTCCTTTAAAAAGCCAATTGAAACAATGTATTTCTGACTAACTTATGTAAGGCCTCTATCTCCTAATGTGTTTTATTTCTTCCAGGTGCACCCTGAAGACCATAAGTTAAACAAATATCATGACTGGCTTTGGGAAAATCATGAAAAATTAAATCTGTCTTAAAACTCTTTGAAGTTTTCAAACTCATTTTTTATATGTTGCTTTGCACTTTGATTCTTAAGAGCTCAATTAAGCATAACCAACTACCTTTCCAGGCACATAGATTTTAATCAGCCCAACTAGAAACCCAATCAATGTTTTCTTAATATGTGTGCCACTGGTAGATCTTTGCTACTGAATGTGCTAGAACATGTTTTGAGGTTTTTTTTAAAATAAATTATTATTTGACAACAATCCTAAAAATGTATCTGACTTTTCCAATAATGAAATGTGATTTGAAGGTGAAAAAAACTTTTCTAAACTAGCAATAATACAAAGCAAACTTCTATCCACTTGCTCAAGGAAAAAATAGACTTTCTGTCCTCTTTCTATAGAAAATGATATTATACAGTTGTTATATAAAGAAGCAGTCAAAGTTTTCAGCCAAACATGTAAGAAAAGACATTACAGGGTGTATTAGGCAGTCAGCTAGCCCTAGTGGTCTAATGGTTAAGATCCGGCACTGTCCCTGCTGCGGCCTGGGTTCGTTTCCCAGTTAGGGAACCACACCACCCGTCTGTTGGTTGTCATACTGTGGTGGTTCCATGTTGCTGTGATGCTGAAAGCTGTGCCACCGGTATTTCAAATACTAGCAGGGTCACCCATGGCGGACAGGCTTCAGCAGAGTTTTCAGACTAAGACAGACTAGGAGGAAAGACCTTGCCACCCACTTTGAAAAAACTGGGCACAAAAACCTCATGAATAGCAGCAGAACATTGTCTGATATAGTGCTGAAAGGTGAGAGGATGGCACAAAAAGACTAGGCAAAGTTCCACTCTACTGTACACAGGGTCACTAAGAGTCATAATTGACTCAATGGCACTAACAACAACAAAAATTCTTACCATACTTAGAATCTGTACAATTCAATTTAGCTCTGAATTATATAATCTTCTATATTTTACACTTCTATATTTTACACTGCTTTTATATTTTACACTGATACTATCTTGTGCCCTTAATTACAGTCATGTGCAATTTGAGGGCAATGACCCTGTTTTACACATTTGTGGGCCCACGGTGCATGGCATTTGTCCTAGACACATAGTGAATATAATCAACAAACTGACAAGGTTTTATCTTGGACCCCTCGGACTGTAACTATATCATGAGATCACAGAAACTCAGAATTAGAAAAGACTCTAGACCGTGTCATGAAGTCCAACTCCCCTGCCAGGGCAGGAATTCCCTATAGATGGCCA